GCTGCTGCCACCACCACCGCCCCTCCGGCCGGGTTTATCGGCGTTATTCTCCCGCGCGGGTTTCTGTGGTCGTACTGCTGCCGCGCCGCCGCTGCACACAGCTCTTTTTGGGTCGTACCGACGTTTCGCACCACACTCAGGGGGAGCTGCCTCGGAATTGAATGGGCTCGTCCGGCGCGCGTGTGCGGCGAAAACGCCGGAAGTCGTGCCGACGCCGCGCGTAGACCCGTGACCCACGGGAGAGCTGCAGACGGTTCTCTGCTCATGTGGAGCTTAGTGAGCGAGCCAGCCGGTGACGACTTCAAGAGTAGCCTCATGGTGGAGATGTGACACGTGGCCCGAATGCTTGAAGCGGGCAGTGACGTTACTACGTGGTGCGCAGTTTGATATATTTCTAAGACATTTCATAGACTTCTGCAGAGACCCGTAGACTTGCAAGGACATTTCATAGACTAGCATAGAGCCGATAGACTCACAGGGACATGTGATAGACTTGCATAGAGACACATAGACTTACAAAAACATGTCATAGACTTGCATAGAGACACATAAACTTACAAAGACATGTCACAGACTTGCATAGACACCATAGACTCACAAGGACATAACATAGACTCGCATAGAGACCATAGACTCACAAGGACATGTCATCGACTTCCAAAGAGACTCATCTACTCACCCGGAGCCCCATAGCCTTAAGCGGTCTGCGCAGGCGGTGGGCATTTGCGTGTGGCCCATGCCTTGAGCTTGGTGACCGCCGGTGCACTCTGGGGATGCCGCGCGGAGGTGGTGAGCGGCGAGCGGAGTGAGGCTGCCGTGGTGGCGGCGACGGCGTCCACCGAAACCCTCGGGGCTCTGCCGGTTGCGCATCTCCCGTCCTGGGCATGGCGGTGGCTGAGACGCATGCCGCTTCTAAACGTGGGGTCGGTGCATCGCGTAGTGCTGGGATCATTGCGCGTGTGCGCACAAGGACAATTCGGCCTCAAATGAGTACCTGGTGCGGTGTGTAGTACACATCGTCACTGGGGAGACAAAGGTGGCCAGGCGTGGTGCTCGCCACCCACCCACCACCTCGTGTTCTGTGCCGGCCTTCATAGGTGCAGCTCGCTAACAGCACTTGCCCCAACAGTCTGTTAAGGTTACACGGGAGACGGGGGGGTGGGAATTTTCGTGTTTGGCATCCACCTAATCAAGAGTTTGGCTTGAGTAGCCGGTACGTGGATTGCCACCTCCAAGGGTACAAAACAAAACCCCGAAAGCAGAGGAGGGAAGGCCGACGAGCGAGCGTCGTTGTCCTGAGTGTTGCGTTGTTCATCATTATCAGCACCAGCCATGATCAATCCACTGCTGGATGAGGGCCTCCCACAGGTGTATTATTAACATTATGATGCGACTGACAAAAAACATACTTTTAATGTACGGGGGAAGATTTGTAGATTTACCAGGACAGTAGCGGCTGCCTCCTCAACCAGATGGACAAACCTGGGGGAAAAACCCAGGACCGTAGGCAGTACAGCAAAGTGGGTTTCTGTCCTCCCCCTGTTCTGCGTGGGTTTCCTCCTGGGTTCCTCCCATAGCTGAAAACCCACAGACGACAGTGTTACTGGCATTGGCCACATATCCCAATGCTATGAAAACATTTTCCGTGCAAACTATTCCATCGGGATCGCACGTAGCGGCAGCGGCAGCAGCAGCATGATCCCTCCCCTCCCACCCCGCCACTGTGGAAAACTCGGCAGGACCCCCCCAGAACATCATTGTTGAGGCTCGGTGAGACTCTCCGGGCTAAACGGGGTTCACGTCTGTTTTCGTTCAACCCCGGCGAGAACTCGAGAGGGCATGACGGGCGTCTCGTTGGCTGTAGCGGGGACGTGGACTGCCAACGACAGAAGTTGAGTACGTCAATGAAAGCGAATAGAAATCTGCGCGAAAAAAAACTGCGTCGGAGGGGAAAAAAAATATGGAAAGTATTGCGCGAGGCGGCTGGTGATGGATTATGTTTCGCCTGATCGCAGCATGTTTGTGGTACGTTGGATTTCGTTTGCACCGTGTACGTAGCGTCGTTATTGGAGACGCCGCTAATGACGACACGTGGTGCGCGCACACCGCAGGTACGACGGCGTGATGAACCGCGTGAAGGCGCTGTCTCGAGCGCATGCAGAAGCTGGCGACGGAGCGCGACAAGCTGGCGCAGTGCGTGCTCTTCCAGTACGGCCGCTCGAACCCGGGCCAGGGCCGGCCCGGCGGGGCCCGGCAGCGCTCGCTGGACGCGAGCCGCGTCGCGTACAACGAGCTACTGCAGGACGACGCCGCCTTCTCCGAGTACGAGAGCTGGTCCGAGCGCGGCGGCGGCGGCGACGGCGGCGGCAGCTCCTGCTCCTACTCCTTCGCCTCGACGCCGCTCAAGAGCGCGCCGGGAGGCCGCGGGCCGTCCCGCCACGGCCACGGCCCCGCTTCGGGCCGCTCCACGCCCAGCCTGCGGCGCCGACGCCATGCGCCGGTGCGTCAGCGTGGACTCGCTGCGCGTGCCGGACGCGCGCTACGAGTCCGTGTGCAAGGTCCCGCGCAAGGTGGCGGCCGGCATGGGCGCCCGGTCGCCCTGGTCCGTGTCGCGCTCCGTCAGCGTCGGGGGCGGCAGCGTCGGCACCTCCTCCGCGGCGAGACGGAGCCGCGGCGCGGGCCCGGGCTCCCTCGGCAGGCGGGGGTGGGGGGCGGTCGGTTCCATCGGCTCGTCCGTGTCCCTGGGGTCCCTGGCGTCCTTCGGCGCCGTGCCCGCGCTTGTCCATCGCCGAGGAGGAGGAGGATGGCGACTGCGAGGACGCGGTGGACAGCGTGAGCGTCTTCTCGGCCCGCTCGCCCGTGTCGCCTCCGCCGCCGCCTTCGCCGGCGCTCGCCCGCTCCCTGCAGCTGGTGCGCAGCATCGGCGTCCGCGGCCTCCGCGCCCCCAAGGGCAGCGGGATCCCCACGCCGTCGCGGCGAGGGGCGGCGGCGGCGGCGCCGGCTCGGCCCGGACGCGTAGTGAGCGCAGCGAGCGCAGCACGCCGCGTGGCAAGCCCCCGCCGCGAGGAGGCGCCGGTGCTCTCGGAGGGCGACGCCGTCGGAGCGGAGGAGCGCGGCGCTTGCCGTGAGGTACGGCGCGAGCTGCGTTTTTTCACGTTCGGGAGCCACCGGCGCCCTGTGGTGACCTGCGGGGTCGCGGCGGTGGTGGATCTGGCTCGGCAGGGATGGTGGTTTAAAAAAAAAATTGGGATTGAAAATACATTTTTATTTTATTTTATTTGTTTGAGCAGTGGGCAAGATTTTTTTTTAAATGCCATCCATCCCACAGAGGTTGACACAGAGCTGCAAATTATTTTAATAAATATATTTGTCAGTGAATTAAAAAAGCCAAAGAATATATACAATAGTTTTGATGTCGCCCTTATCCTCCAGATTTTGAGAAAGGCCCCACGTTTCAGTCTCAGTTATGCTTCGCTGCTGAAATTAATATTTCATAGCCGTGTATTTGCCACGTCACCGCCGCGTAGTGCCACGCGGCGCCGCGTGTGATGCTCCGTGTGCCCCCGTTGCCCGGCCAATGCCCTTTTAATTCTGCCCTAAGCTGGGTGCGTACCCAGCCACGGCACGACCCCGTTTCACGGCGTTGCCGCATTCTCGCGAATAGAATGGCACCTTCACCGGGGCTTCGGGACGAATGTGCAAGCCTGCAAAATGATGGTGACTGGGTGACAACGATGACGACGATGATGTTGATGATGATGTTGATGATGTTAATGATGTTGATGATTCGATTAAAGCTTTCGTGACTGCAGGGATTCATCTTCTTGGTTCTTTCGGTAAAGTCACGTAGAAGGGAAATAATAAAATAATACAAATAAAACATCATAAAATACAATTCTAACGACGAAAGACAGCGTCTTTCCGACAGACCTGTTCTTCACCTAAGGATGACTGCTTGCGTTGTTGTGGAAACGTCGTGAGAATTGTATTTTATTATGTTTCATTTGTATTATTTTATTATTTCCCTTCTACATGACTTTACCGAAAGAACCAAGAAGGTGTTGATGATGATAGAGAGGAACAATTCTAATAAAGGTGCCACCACACCGCCCAATCACCAGGCTCACGTAGAGACCCACAGACTCGGGTAGAGACCCGCAGACTCGCATAGCAAGTCACGAGTGTCTCATCTCATGGAGTGACTTGTCCTTGCCATAGCAATATGGAAATTCCACCACCTGTCTCAGGCACACCACCACGGATGAGCACCACCCAGAGTTTGTTAGCGTAGGGAGAGGCCTTCAGCGGCCGCCCTCTCCCGTTCGCTGCAGTCACACGCGGCTACCGCTTACGCGTCTCTCTCCCCGCGCGCCGTACAGGACGTTGGCCAGCAGCTGGAGCGGATGACGCGGCAGCGGGAGGAGAGCGGGGCGGCCACGCGGACCGGGGACCTCGAGCGGAGCCTGGCGAGCGCCGTCGCCGTGCCAAGCCTCCGCGAGCGCCTCCTGGAGGTGCCGCCACTCCCCCGCTCCCGCACCCGTGTGCCGCTCGATGCGCCCGTTCACGGTTTTGATTTGCGTGCGGCTCCGCGGCGCGCGGCGGCGCGCGCGGAGATCGCGACCGTGCCACGCAGCGACGGCCACCCCCCCTTCACCCACATTCCACAGTGTCCCCAGTTCGATTCCATCTCCCGGGCGCGGCGGTTGAAACAACGGTGCCGGTTTCCTTAAATCCGCTCGGCAGTAGAAATGTTTACGCCGCGGTGAGTCGGGTCGGCAGGTCGCGTGCGGGTGGTGTAGAGTGTGGGTACCCCCGCCGGAGGTTCTTCCTGCGCCGGTGGCGGCCGCTTTGTCGTGCACGGCGGTGACGGTGAGCGGGGCCCGCAGGACTGCGCGAGGATGGCGGAGGAGAGAGCGGCGGGCGACGAGGACTCGAGCCACCTCGTCACGCGACTCAAGGACAGGATGTCGGAAGGACGCTCCGCTCCCGTGGTGAGTCTTCAACCCCTGTGACTGGCCGCCTGCCGCCGTCCCTTTGCAAACCGCACGCAAACCCAGCGGTGACACGGGGGGTGCGACGGGGGGGGGGGGGGGGGGGGGGGAGGATACCTTCATCGGACAACAGTCTGGGCAAAGGCCACTGTTCCCTGCTGTGATCTCCCTCCTATGATGTCTCTGCTATAATCTCCCTCCTATGATGTCTCTGCCTATATCATATTTATACCTCTTTCTCCCGACGCTCTGGACGAATGTCCCACCGCCGTCGAGCAATCGTGAGCGCCAGCGATGGGCTTGAGGAGGCCTACATCCAGCAGTTGATAGATAATGGCTGTCGATGAAGATTAATTACGAGTTTGGCACGGCCGGCTGCGACTGTCATCAGACGCGCAATTAGAGCCGTGGGAGAGTTTTCAGTCACGGGCGTGGGTCGGCGCCGCCCATCCTTCTCCCCACTTGGTGCTGAGTCAGCGGTGGTTTTCCCCAAGAATAGGACAGACTCGTCCCCGCCACGGGAACGTGGAGTTCCACCATTGGCTCACTGCCAGACGGGGGCGAGTGCCGGCTTGTCTTGGTGGAAGGTTAAGGGCGCAGCCCCTGCAATTGCTCGCTCGCGCTACTGCCGGCCGACGGGTCCTCCGCTAGAGGGTGCGTTGGCCTACTCTTCCGCGCCGGCCGGGTGGCGTGTAAGATTACCCACACTTTACACCACCACCACCACGACGACCGCCGCACTCGTGCTGCCGATCGTAGACTCGCCGTGGTGAGGCCATCGGCACTGCCGGGTTGGACGGGGGCCTTACCTACATTTGAACCGTTGCCGTGTTTCAGACCTCCGAGGCACGCGATAGTCCATCGGATCGTACTCGCGCGCGCGGGACAGACGGACGGGATGAGAGGGCTGGGAGGGAGGAGAGGGCTGGGAGGGAGGAGAGGGACGGGAGGGAGGAGAGGGCCGGGAGGGAGGAGAGGGACGGGAGGGAAGAGAGGAGCTGCTGTGTCTGAGGGAGGCTCTGGAAGAGAAGGACTCGGACATCCGCCGGCTTTGCAGCGTCCTCTCCAGCAACGAGTCCACCATCGCGGTGAGCGACGCTCTCCCTGACCGCGCTCGTTACGACGATGACAGCAGTGAGTGTTTGTATTACGGTCTCATAATAACAACAGCGATAACAACAGTGAGTGTTTGTGTCATGGTCTCATCACAACAACAACAGTGAGTGTTTTGTATCATGGTCTCATCACAACAACAACAACAACAATGAGTGTTTTTATCATGGTCTCATCACAACAACAACAACAGTGAGTGTTTGTATCAGTCTCATCATAACAACAATAACAATATGCAAAGAACACCGCACGGCGCTGCACAATCCCCACACGCTGAGGCGTGTGTGTTGGCAGACTGAGATTCTTTCAGCCAATTAGCAACGAGCGTTTACGCACGTGGGGGGGGGGGGGGGGGGGGGGGAAACCGGAGGACCCGGAGTAAAACCCACGAGTGCGACGGGGAAATACTCAGTGCCACGCACTGACGGGATGGATACAGATCAGTCGGCGCTTGCCGTGACGCCTTCTGTCGACACGGCACCCTTTCTCAACCACACACGCGTGTCACACGTGTCACGTGTGTGTCGGCGATGCTCTCGGTCCACTCCGACGCACGTCCTCACCGTGGCGCTCTGCCGAACGACGATGCGGCACGACCGGGAATCTCACCGGAGCGCCGTGCGGCACGACCGCGGCAGCTTTGCGTTTACCGAGCGGCGGCGGTGGGCGGCACCGCGTGCCACGGTGCGCCACGCGCCAGAGGTCGCAAACGGGTTTTGATTGCTTACCCGTACCCGTACCCGGCTGCACCAGGGTCGAAAACGGGTACCCATACCCGTACCCTACCCGATACCCAGCTACCCGTACCCAGCCGGGTATCGGGTAGGGTACGGGTATCGGGTACCCGATTGCGACCTCTGGGATGAAGCCATGTTGCAGGCGCGGGTGGGTTGATTCTAGGACCTTGAATTGTGAGAAGAGACAAGACGTTGGGAAATGAGTGACAAACGGTTACTCACCAGTGACTCATGGCCTACCCGTGCCCGTACCCGGCCGGGTACGGGTAGCCGGGTATCGGGTACCTGGTTGCGACCTCTGCCACGTGCGTCACGGTGCCCCCCGTTGTCATACGCAGAGCCTGGACACGGTGCTCAAGCAGAAGGACGAGGAGCTGAAGCGATCGAGCGACGCGTTCCTGGAGATGATCGACGGCTTGCGGAGCAGCCACGCGCACGCCGCCCGGCAGAAGGACGCCCTCATCGCGGAGATGGAGCAGGCGCTGCGCAGGAAGCTCCGCGACACGGAGGTGCGGAAGGCCTCCATCCCCTCCCTCTCTGAGATTGTTTACCGTGGCGCGCAACGACCGCAGTAAGAGTGCCGCTGCGCGCGCCGTGGACGTTAGAGAACCCGTGACGTCGTTCGCAAAGAGTAGGCCGCAGCGTGCCGCCGGCGTCGGGTTGGTCTGCGTTTAAAAAAAAAAAAATCACGCCGACACATTCCACGTTCGTCCAGGAGCTGCTCAGGAGCAGGTCGAGCGGCGGGGACGAGGCGTTGGCGGAGGCGACGGAGCGCTGCGTGGAGCAGCAGCGGCAGCTGCAGCAGGCCCTCGTCGACAGAACCCGGGAGCTCTCCGAGCACCAGCAGGAGGTGGAGAGGACGCTCCGGCTGGTCGTGGACAAGGAGCGCCTGCTCAAGGTGCGACGCCGCCGCGACCCCCCGCGACCCCCGTGACCCCCGCGACCCCCACGACCCCCGCGACCCCCGCGACCCCCGTGACCCCCGCGCCGCTTCCGCTGCGCCGTTGACGCGGGGGCGGCCGCTACCGTCGGCGGGAGCCGCCGCGCGTTCCGCGACGTTGACCCCCCCCCGTGGCCGTCGCCGTGCCGATCTCTCCACAGGAGAAGACGGAAGCCTCCTCGACGGCGGAGGGCGAGCTGAGGGCTGAGATCGAGCGGCTCAAGCGCAGCGCGGTCCAATCTCCGCGCGGAGCAGGGGCGGGCGACGCTGCTCGGGCGGTGCCCGGAGACACAGAGGCCCCAGTGAGTCCCCACTTGTCACCCGTGTCACCCGCCCCACGCCTGCCACCCACGCCACCCGTGCCACCTGTGCCGCCACTGAGCGCTACACTCTGGAATCCCCTTGAGTTCTCGTCATCACTGTGAGCGGCAGCAGCCATGAGCTCTCCACCGATGATGCTGATATTGCTGCTCATGATGCCGATGATGGTAAGGGTGCTGCTGTTGCTGCTGATCATGATGGCGCTAATGATATGGGTTTCGCAGCTGCTGCTGCTGCTCATGGCAATGATGAGGATAATGCGAAGCGAATGATAATGATGATGCTGCTGCTCGTGATGCTGACGATGACAATGATCTCACTCGTCATGATGAGGATGCTATTCACGATAAAGACACTGTTGCTAACGACGACGAGGATGTCACAGCGGCTTCCCGTGATAATGATGATGACACTGATGACGAAGCTGCCACTAACGATGATGCACGTGGTAAATTCGGCAGGAGAGGCCTCACCAAGGAGGCCGGGATGGAGGCGGTGTCGACACGAAGCTCGTAGCTGAGAACGTGGCGCTGAAGGCCCAGCTCGCCCAGAAGGAGAAGCTCCTCCAGGTGAGAGCCGTCTCGGTCCATTTGGGCTGTACGGGCCATATCTGGCTGTATCTGGCTGTCTCTGACCGTCTCTGGCTGTACGGGCCATATCTGGCCGTCTCTGGCTGTCTCTGGCTGTCTCTGGCTGTCTCGGGCCGTCTCTGGCTGTCTCTGGCTGTCTCGGGCCGTCTTGGTCCGTCTTGGTCCGTCTTGGTCCGTCTCCCATCGTAACGTTTAGTTCAGCGCTGCGACGACTCACTGTGGGCAGCAGAACATAGTGGCAGTGCTGCAAAATGTATCGTTATTATTACGATTCCGTGTGTTTACCAAGGGAGGCTTCACTGAGTCTCAAGACTCTATTTCAGGAGGGTCCTGCCCAGTTTTCGCTTGGGAGGGTGACGCTGCTGCTGCTGCTGTTGTTGTGTGCGATCCCAATTGAGTAATTTGCAGGGTGATTTCTTCAGCATTGGGATGTTGTTTGGGCCAATAACAGTGACATTGTGTGGTTTGTTTCGTGATGGGAGGAAGCCAGAGAACCGGGAGGAAACCCACGCAGAAGAGGGGGGGGAGAACGAACCAACTCCACACAGAAAGGCAGGCGCCCGAGTCAGAGATCGAACCCGGGCCGTTGTTGACGTGAGGCACGAGCAGTACCGCCGCGTTGGCGCCCAGCGACCCGCCGCAGTTGCCAGAACGCTCCCCGTGACGGCAGCAGGGCGACCGAACTGCCGGGGGTCGCAACTGTTAGAGCAGCACACGCAAAGCGGAAACATCGCCAAACGAGCGGCGACGCTGTTGAAGTAACAGCGCCGCGTCCGACGCCCCCAAACCACCACCCCGCCGTTTTGTTGTCGGCATTGAGGCACCGATCGCTCGCACGGACGGCAACGCCCAGTCGCAGCGACGTTCTGACACTCGAGGGATGTGCCCCAGGAGTTGGGTGAGGAATGGGCTCCGGCATTCGTACCAAACCGAGGCCCGGCGTCGTTTAGCTTGGAGCACTCCAAGCTAGACGACCCTGCGCGCTGCACGATTTCCTCATTCCGCCCAACCCAATGGCCGTGTCCTCTCGGGCGCATTAGGGGACGGGTCGATGGCGCGCGGAGGGCATTCATCCAGCGATGGCTTGACAACGGCTGACGGTGATCGAGTGAGTTGGTGCAGTGTCCCGGGTGCTGCATTGACACTTTGAAGCTTGTGAATCACAAGGCCTGGTGTTGGGGATTCACTTAGCCCACCATCTTTTAATTAACACGACTTTGTGGCGAGTCAACAGCGATAATCCTACGCCCGTCAGTGGAAGTGCGCAGTGTAGATTTGGGTCATCTGGGGTTTACAGGTGAGGGACGTGGGGAGGTGAGGGGTGGGGGGAGGTGAGGGGCGGGGGGAGGTGAGGGGGCGTGATGAGGGGCGTATTGAGGTGTGGGACGTGGGAAGTGAGGGGGGTGGGGGGAGGTGAGGGTGGGGGGAGGTGAGGGGGCGTGGTGAGGTGAGGGGTGGGGGGAGGTGAGGAGCCTGGGGAGGTGAGGGGTTGTGGTGAGGGGCATATTGAGGTGAGGGACGTGGGGAAGTGAGGGGTAGGGGGAGGTGAGGGGCTTTGGGAGCTATAAATCTTTTTTTTTCACAAAGATGTCCACCCGGGGCGGGTAAGAACGCTACAACAGCGAACGGTACAAAACCACGATAGGAGTGCAAAGTACAAGGGTGACACCGGTGAAGGGTGACACCGGTGCACGAGGCCTACTCTTTTTCCGAACGACGTCACGGGATCTGTAGTGGCACCCACAGTGAAACGGACGTTGTGGTGCGTGTGTGTGTATATAGTTTCTGTGTTTTTTGTCGCTATGCCCCCCGCGGCATTAGGCAGGGGGCGTCCGCCGGCTCGAGCCGTCAACCTCCGCGAGAAGCGGCGAGCGAGCGCTCGGCCTTCCGTGACGAGGCCATCGGTGCACAAACCACGCAGAGCTTCTCGCGCCGTGCGGCGTCGTGTGCCTCGCGTGTCACGTGCCGGATGTCGTGTGTCGTGAGTTGCGTGTCGTGTCTCGCATGTCGTGTCACGTGTTTCGCGTCTCATGTGTCGCTTGTTGTGTCTCGCGTGTCGCGTGTCGTTTGTCACGTGCGTTGAGTGGCATATCTCGTGTCTCACGTCTCGTGTCGTGTATCATGTGTTGAGTGTTGTGTCTCGCATGTTGTGTCACGTGTTTCCGCATCTCGCGTCTCATGTGTCGTGTGCTCGGGGCAGGAGCTCATGGGAGAGGGCAGCAGGAACGGAGGCCACGGCCGCTACGACTACGACAATGACGACGCTCACCACCACCTCCCTCCTCCTCGACGACGACATAGACGACGATGAGGGGGATGACGGTGAGACGCACGGCGTGCCGGGCCGCCCGCGTGGCGAGTTCACGTTGGGAGCTGCAGATTTTCCGCGCGGGGTAAATAATAAAAACGCTCTGCCCTCTTACTTCTGGAAGCGAGGGGAAGCGTGGCTCTCCGGAGTCCGGCTGGGTTCTGTGATGAACAAACTGTCGCCAAGGAAAAACACTTTGGGCCGATGTGAGCACGTGAGCAGTCGGCGATTTGACTGCTTGAAAGAGTTTCCCGGAAAATGTTTTAAATAAAAAGATGTGTTCAGGTTTTCTCGCGCGTGTGCCGGGCTCTACCGGCGATGTGCATCGCGACGATGGATCGCGCGTTGACGCGTGTGTGTCCGCGTACCTGGTGCGGTGTGTAACACAACGCCACGGGGGAGACAAAGGCGCCGGGCACGGTGCTGGGCCACCCACCTCCTTCGGGTGCCGTGCCGGGCCCTCACCTCCCCAGGCCCCTCACCTCCCCACGCCCATCACCTCACCCCACCCCTCACCTCCCTCACCTCCCCATGTCCCTCACCTCCCCACGCCCCTCACCTCCCCACGCCCTCACCTCCCCACGCCCATCACCTCACCCCGCCCCTCACCTCCCAAAGGCCCTCACCTCCCCCCACCCCTCACCTCCCTCACCTCCCCATGTCCCTCACCTCCCCACGCCCCTCACCTCCCCACGCCCCTCACCTCCCTCACCTCCCCATGTCCCTCACCTCCCCACGCCCCTCACCTCACCACGCCCCTCACCTCCCTCACCTCCCTCACCTCCCCATGTCCCTCACCTCCCCACGCCCCTCACCTCCCCACGCCCCTCACCTCCCCACGCCCCTCACCTCCCCACGCCCCTCACCTCCCCACGCCCCTCACCTCCCCACGCCCCTCACCTCCCCACGCCCCTCACCTCTCCACGCTCGCCCCAAACAGTCTGTTGAGGTATATTCATATTCTCAGGTTTTTCGGTAAAGTCACGTGACTTTACCGAAAAACCTGAGAATATGAATCCTTGCAGTCACGAAAGCTTCAAATCTAGAATAGTCTGTTGAGGCTTACACGATGCCGTTGCGTGCCCCCCCCCTCCCGGTCAAGATTTGCTGCCGGAGTTCCCTCGGTTTGCCACTCGCTCCCCTCCACTGGGGTCCGTCCCTGGAGAGCGAAGCGACGGGGACACGAGTCGCCCACCCGCGGCGGCCTTCAGCAACGGTCTCGAGGCCAAGGTACCGCTGGCTACCGACACCAAACATAAAACATCTTATTTGATTTTACCAGGTGCAAGGCTACCGACACCAAACATAAAACATCTTATTTTATTTTACCAGGTGCAAGGCCCCGCTTGAGCTATCTCTGGCTCTTTTTTTTTAAGAAAGCGACCTGGGCTGCCACAAATGATAGCTCGAAAACCAAGTGGCGGCTTGCCATCGCGTCAAAATGGCGGCCGAGTAGTGGAATTAATGGAAACGCGTGACGTTGATTCTAAATGTGGAGGGAAAACACGGAGGGCCCGGGAGAAAAATCCACGCGACCACGGGGAGACAGAGAGAGAGAGAGACACGCAGACTCCAATATACAGGCATCGTCAGGGTCGGGAACGAACCCACGACCTCCTGGTAGCCAACACATCGTCACCGTGGTAACAACTAGCGGGGGCCACCCGTCACCGAGGTGCGGCGACGATCGCACCGTTACCCACCTGGTGTCGCCGTGTTGCAGCTTCACGCTTTGAGAAGTCCCAGTCGCCTTGCGGCGTCGCCAGAGGACAAAACGGACGTCGCGGTCGGTCTCCGCTCTTCTAAAGTGCTCGCTTGACAGCGCTTGGCCCTGAACGTCTAATTAAGGCCACACGGGGGATCTTTGTTTTGTCCGCGTGTCGTTTAGAAGGCCGCGGGCTCGGACGGTGATGGCGGACGGCAGCAGTCGCCCCCCACGGCCGTGTCCACTTCTGCCAGGTGAGTTCAGAAGTCGGCGCACAGCGATAGAGTCGTGGACTGAGAGTGGCTGGAATTGATTATTACTATTATTACTATACTATAACGTGTTACATCTTTATTGGTTCTTTCGGTAAAGTCACGTAGAATATTTCCCTTCTACGTGACTTTACCGAAAGAACCAAGAATATGAATCCCTGCAGTCACGAAAGCTTTAAATCGAAATCGTTGTGTGAGGGGCATTCCTCGGGGTTGCCCTGCGACGCACCGCATGCCCGGCCGCGCCGTCACCTCTCTCGCTCCCCCGCAGCGCTGCGGCCTTGACCAAGCAGCCCAAGCAGCCCGCTAAGCAGAGGCCCTCCAAGGCCGCCAAGCCGGGGCCCCCCCAGCCCCCGAGGCAGGGCCCCACCAAGAAGAGGGCGGCGATGGCGGCGGGCGGCGGAGCCTCGAGCCACAACGGCAAGAAGGCCGCCACGCCGCGCCAGGACGAGTGAAGGCCGCCGCGGCCGTGGGCGCGGCCGCCGTCCGTAGGTGGAAGCCCTCCTCGTCCTCGTCGTTGTCGTCGGCGCCATCATCGGCCGTGGTCTATCCACTGCCGGATGTGAAGGCCTCCCGAAAACCGTCTCTCTCGATGCCACGATGCTATGGCCCCACCTTGCTCCTGATCTCATCCCTCTCTGTTCTTGAAGTCGCAAAGTAAAAATGAGTCGGGGTCCAATTCGTCACCGGCCAGGTTCTGTCCACTGCTGGATGAAGGCGCCTCTCCAGGCCGGCGCCATCCGTCGCGATGCTGCGATGCGACGCCCCCAACCGGACACCCGCGCACGAGCCGGTTTCATCGCTCCATCTCTTCGGAGGAACGTCATCTACGGACACGCTCCATTCCTTCCACCGCGCTGCGTTTTTAACGTCTTCCATGTTACGGGAGCGCCGAAATAACCTGCGGGCGCTCGCCTCGCACTGCCTGCCGAAGACTTGACACGCACGCACACACACACACGCACACACTCGCACACGCACGCACACACGCACACACTCGGGAGATCAACAGAACGACACGGAGCAAGTTTTGCACATTTAGAATGATGCTTCAGGGGGGCAATAATTTCCCTTTGTACTCTCCCTTCGCTGCGAACCTCATCGACGGAACTTGGAAACTGCCGCGGTGCAGAGCGCCGAGTGGGCTTCGTCGGGGTTTGCTGGCAGGAACGCTCTCGTTCTCCTCTCCTTCTGCTGTAAAACAGAATCCCCAAATCACCCTGTGGACTCGCTCGACCTCGGCGGCGCGGGTGTCGCGGGTGGCGTGGGTTGTCGCGGGTGGCGTGGGTTGTCGCGGGTGGCGCGGGTTGTCGCGGGTTGCATGGGTGGTGTGGGTGGAACGGGTGACATGGATGGAATGGGTGGCGTGGGTGGAATAGGCCCTTGCGGCAAGTGCGTGCCGTGTCCGTGCCGCGCTGCTTTTAGAGGTCCCCTTGCTGACGTGCTCACTGCCTCTCGTGCATCCCTCTCGATGGCGCGTGCTAGGTCTCCGCGGGTTCCAGTCCGACCCGACGGGGTCGGAGGGGGTCTCTGAGCGCTTTAGGTGACAGCATTTCAAGGCGTTCCATAGGGCACCCCCAGTGGCAGCAGCAGCAGCAGCTGTCCCTGCGTGGTACCAGGTGACTCGGCACGTGGCCTGCGAGCGGGCGCCAGTCGGCTGCCAGTAGGGGGCGATGACAGCCGCTGTGCGATCCCAATTGAGCGCTGGTGTCGCGGTTCGAGCGCGGCGCTCCGAGCCCGGCGAGCCGAGTTCGATTCCCGCCCACGGCCCACCAACGCCAGCGACCCCTATTTATCTGAACCGGTCCTGAGCCTCCCCTAGGTCGACTCGGCCTCAAACGGAGTACCTCGTACGTTGCGTAAACATCGCCGGCGGGCGTGGTGCTGGCCACCCGCCCCCTCGTGCGCCGTGCCGGCCTTCGTAGGTGCTGCCACTCTCTCTCGGCACTTGCCCCAACAGTCTGTTACAGCCTATACAGGGTGGGGCGGGGGGAGATCTTTGTCTTCGGTCGCGATTGACGTGGGTTGAACGGCGATTTTGCAGGTCTCGTCTCGAGGCAGAGGTCGCAACCGGGTACCCGATACCCGTACCCTACCCGATACCCGGCTACCCGTACCCGGCCGGGTACGGGTACCCGTTTGCGACCCTGGTGCGGCCGGGTACGGGTACGGGTAGGCCGTGAGTCACTGGTGAGTAACCGTTTGTCACTCATTTCCCAACGTCTTGTCTCTTCTCACAATTCAAGTTCCTAGAATCAACCCACCCGTGCTTGCAACATGGCTTCATCCCAGAGGTCGCAATCAGGTACCCGATACCCGTACCCTACCCGTACCTGGCCGGGTATGGGTAGGGTACGGGTACGGCCGGGTACGGGCACCCGTTTGCGACCCTGGTGTGGCCGGGTACGGGTAAGGAATCAAAACCCGTTTGCAACCTCTGTCTCGAGGCGCCTGAGACGCCGTGTCCCCCCACCTCCCCGAGCGTTTCCTCGTCGTGTGGTTGGGAGTGCAAGCCTGGTCGTGAAGCCACGGCGCAAGTGACTGAAATCCTCCTCGCCCTCCCTCCCTGCCCACTGCCACCGCCCCGCCTCCATCCACCCAGCAGTATAAATGGGTGAGGACGCAGCCAAGATGACGGGTGGGGTAAAGTGTGGCTAGTCACACGTCGTCTCCCAAGGACGCGCGGCCAGTGTGGAAGATTGTGTCCAAACAACAAAAATGCCTCCTTTCCGTAAGCGCGGATCCAGCAGCGGCGACGCGGGCGAGCACTTGCGGGGCTGCGCTTTACCTCTCGCGCGTCCGCACGAGTTCTGCACTGGGACACGCGGACTCGGCGTCGCTCTCTCTCTCTGTGTCCACGTAGAAGACGTCGCCTGCCGAACGCCAACAGGGCACTGCGTGTTGTGTTTTTTTTTTCTTTCCGTCAACGGTTTTTTGCAAAAATTTGGTCGACTTGCACCTTCATCCTGACACTACCACCGATGGATGGCTGCGGCGTGGCATGGCAAGTTGACAACAACTCTACCGGGGGGGAAGGGGACAGAGGGGGGGGGGACGTTTGTTTTTAAATGACCCAAAAAAATCCACTTCACGGTGTGTCTAAAAGACGCAGAGTCAACGCTAGATTTCAACAAAATCGTCACTGGAGTTGACCAAACGTCCCCAATGATGATAGGACCAGCAGAGCTCGGGCAATCGTTGCTGGTGACGCCGGTTTGGGGGGAGGGGGTGAGGGGGGGGGGTATAATCTAGAGCGGCGATTTGACCTGCGATTTCTCCATGAACGACGATGCTATGCATACACATGATTATTATTATTATTATTGCTGCTGCTGTTGTTAACGTTGTTAATGTTGATTGTGAGCGAAGCTCACTGGATAGCGGTGTTCGTCAATGCAACCGTGCGTGGTGGGTCGTACTGTTCTGCTTGGCAGTGTCTAAGCTTTAGGTTAATGCATATTAAGTGAAAAATAAATAACACCGAACGATGTTCATTGACGGTATGGAAGCCTCACGTGTTCATTCAGCTGAGCCGTCTCCATACCTGTCAACTCCTTATCAGTAGCCCTACCTTGTTAGAGAACAATTCACACATTATTGGTCACCCCGTGCCCTTGGAAATCTCAACGTTCATCCTACAAAGTCCCATCACAAGGGAGAAACACAAACACAAATAGACGAACAAAATGTTTGTCGCCCGTATTGAAACGGCCGTACGCCCCCGTATGGACCTGAAAACTCGACAAGAATACGGGGTAAAGAGTCCGGGTCGACAGCTCTGCGTCTGCGTCAGCTGTACCGAGCAAGCAATCGCCTGGGAAGCTCACGTGGTGTGTCACGTGACCCACACCACCACGTGCTGGCATTCTGGACCCAACTTTTTTTGTTATTTTTCTCTGCTCTCTCTCGCAAAGTGGAACCCTCGCTGAATGTTTACGAGTTCGGATGGAGTCTCCTGCGAGGGTCAGAGAGGCTGAGTTCGACTCCAGGCGTCATACCGGGATACCAGTGACCACTACAAAGATAAAGATCCCCCGTGTAGCCTTAACGGACTGTTGGGGCAAGTGCTGTGAGCGAGCAGCACCGACGAAGGCTGGACACGGCACACGAGGGGGTGGATGGCCAACAAGCACGCCCGGCCGCCTTTGCCTCCCCAGTGGCGATGTTTACACATCGCACCAAGTACTCATTTGAGGCTGAGTCGATCTAGGGGGAGGCCCAGGACCGGTTTAGATAGTCGTCACCGGTGTTGG